ATGCCACGTCCACAGCAGTGACTGCCGTGTAGTGACAAAATGCCTCTGCGCTGGCTTTTGCCTGTTGAAGGATTGGGGTTAGAGCTTCCTGGAGCGAAGCCCCAGGCGGTCCCCTGGCAATCAACGGTCGAGATAGGACCTGATGCCGTAGGCAAATCTCGTATCTGGAGATAGCCTTGAGAGCGAGCCCTCCTGGCACCCTGCATGATCTTTTTCTGTATTTTTAATCTTTCCTGTTTTTAGCTGACCGCTTACCAAGAAATCAAAGTACGTCCTTGGCTCGGCCCCACCGTTCATTAAAGCAGTCCTTGAGGAAATAAAGTATGCCCCACGCCACATGAGCCTGGGAAACTTTATTAATTATGAAACAGAAACGGCTAAAGTTGATACGTTACGAGGGAATCGTCATAGTAAATCAGATTTAGAGAGAAAAGGAGAGTTAGAGAAAATTCCCCAGCGCACTCCTTGATTCACTTCCTTATATAGGAGCCTATGATGAGCAAGGGAATAGATGGGTTAATGTTGATGGACAAAGACTGTTATATTATACTTTCAACTTTATGGATAGGCTTGCTAGATCCCAACCCCCATGATGTCTGCCGCATAAGAAGGTACTAAAAAATATAGTTCAACAGGTGCAGAGAACTGATTAGGTATATTTGGTCACTAGATGAAATAAAGGGTTAAGAGGAGGAAGGGCCATGATAGCAATAATAAGACAGAAACTTTCTGTTCATAAGATGTAACCACTTGCCTGAGGTTTACAGTCCCAAGGACAAGAGTTCCTCTTCTAAGATTTACAGTCCCAAGGACAAGAGTTCCTCTTCTAAGGACGCTTTGTGTCTAACACCTGTTCCTGATAACATACTTTTTAAACATTGCTAAAAGAAGTTTTCATACTGTGCCAACTAATGATACATGACTTTCTGACTTGTTCTTTGTTTAAATACTATATAATAAAAGCATGATTTTAGTAAAATCGCAACAGATTTTCACTACACAATGTGTCTGTCTGTCATTCCCTTGCGTCGTATCCTGGCTATCCTATCCTTCACCCTGTTCTCCCGTGGATAGCAGTCTCCAAGAGGGACGGTCCATGACAGGTGGCGCTCGGAACAGGGACTTGAAGGATAGGTAAGCTTTCTCTTTTCTCTTCTCCTTTTCTTTCCAATAGTCAAGAACGACTCTCACCAGGACGCTGCAGGTTCGCCAATAAAGGATCACCGGTTAAGAATGAATAATCAAAAATATAAGGAAACCATGGGACAACATATGACTAAGAACAATAAAATGACGATAGTCATGCTGCAACGACAGTTAGCCAAAACAAAATTTCAGGTCACAAAAGACAAAGATGGAGCATTGGCTAACATTAGACAAAAAAATAAAAAATCCTATCAGGACTTCATTTCCAAACTAGAGGAGGCAGTCACCAAAATGCTGCCTCCTTCAAAAAAAAACAAATATGCTATTGAGACAATTAGCATAAAAAATGCCAATGCTCTTTGCCAAGACCTTATAAGGCCCATCAAAAAGACCAGAACAATACAGGCTACATTAAAGCCTGTACAGATGCCTCACCAGACATAGTCCTAGAGATGGCCTATGCTAAAAAATAAAGGGACAAAAACTCGGCGCCTAAATTAAAAAAACCTATGGAAGAGGTCAATAGAACCTCTCGACTCCCACTTGTTATAAATATGGAAAATCTAAGGACACTCTCTATGCCTCTTTTCTTTTCTGAACTAAGTTCTTCACTATGATAACACTCAAAGTCTCTTATGCTGGCATGCACACACACACGCATACACGTGCATAAATGCACACACATGTAGATATACACATGCATCCCTACACACATACAACACACACACAGACATAACACATATGTACACATATGCACACCCACACACACAAATACTCACACACATCCACATATGCACACACACACACACTAAATGCACTAATTGGAAATACTGAATTGGCCTGCATCTGGGTTTATTCTGCTCTGTTGATGTGATCCTATTCCTTCGCCAGTGTTACACGTCTTCATTTCTGTAGCTGTGTAAGTCTTAACATTGGCAGACTGATTTCCAGCCTCCTTATTCTTTTCAAGACAGTTTCAGCTATTCCCATTTCTTGCCTTGTTCTATGTTTGCAAAGATGGTGACGGGTTTGAAGACCATCCCTGTCTTTACTGTGCTAACTCGTCTAGCTCACAAACAGTATGTTTCTTCATTCATTGTCATTTTTTAATTGATTAGATTATTTTGTGTGTGAATGTTCACCTGCATGTGGGCGCAGTGTCTGTAGAGGCCAGAAGAGGGCGTCAGTGCCCTGGAACTGGAGTTACAGTTGTGAGCCGCCTGTGGGTGCTGACACTGAACCCAGGTCCTCTGGAATGGCAGACAGTGCTCTTAACCACTGAGCCATCTCTCCAGCCCCTTTGCCTTATTTAGTTAGTGTGTAGTTTTCACCGTACACAGTTGTGGGTGCCCTGTTAGACTTACATCTTAATATTTAACTCCTGGAATTAGTTGACAAAATCAACCAAACTGTACCAGTACAACTTCCTGCTTGTTTCTTCTCAGTGCTAGAGAGTGAAGCCAGGGACTGTGTGACTGCTGCACCCCCCACCCCCACCCCAGCTACATCTCTAGCCCATTTGGGCATTTTATTTGACTTAAATTTTGAAGCAGG